CAGCTAATAGAAACACATTGATGAAATCATTTTTGAGGGACATTAAATGGAACCTAAAAGAAAGCTGAAATGGCTTTATGGATTTTTCACTCAAACTGTTTATGAACATTTATTGCCAGTAAATTATATTGTGTCAAAAGAAGGAATCAGTAGGTATGACTTTAATAGAAACCTTTTAGAAATAATAAAATTGAGAATAATTTATTATCCAAGAGTGGATTGAGGGTGGGATGTGGGAATTCATCCTGATGGATGGTTGCCTGCGCTACAGCTTCTGGGAAAGTGAAAAATGGTCTGAGCACCAGAATAGGACTTGGAAAGAAATGGTCTTTCTGAAAAGTATTAATATCCCATGGAACATGTGAATTGCTTCTAGAAGGGAGGGAGGCAAATGGGAGATTTAGCAAGTGTTACTTGAGGGTGTCAGCACTGTATTTGTTCATAGCTCATAAAAAGATGAGCAAGTAGAGCATAACTTAATCTGTACAAAGATAGTGTAGAGCAGTGGTCAGGGGCTCAGCTCTATGGCTGAAAGATCAGGGTTCAAATCTTAGTTCCCCCTCTGCACTGTGTGACCACAGGAGAATTCCCTGACTTCCCTGAGTCTCAAATTCTACACCCTTTCTAACAGATGCTGATAGTGCCTACAAGTTAGAATTATTCTGACGATCAAATAAAAAGTTTCAACAATTTCTGGTTTGTAGTAAGTATTTTAAAGTAGTATTTTCTAGAGTTATGGGGAGTTGGATATGAGGAGAAAAGAATAGAATTCATAAACATGTTAGTGCTAATAGTTGTATCTTATTTACTACATCTCTGATTACTATGTTTTTAGAGATTTCATTAAATATCCTAGAATCCTTCAGTGATGAAGTTACTGTCAATATCCCTTCTTGTCACTGAAGGAAACTGAGCATCAGAAAGATTGGGTTTCATGCCCAAGATTGCTTGACTAATGAAAGATGCTGATACCTTCCCCTGAAAAATGGTACCCGTGAATCTGCCCTCTACGATGGATGAGACAGTTGTGGTCAAATTTCAGCAAAAGTAAAATCAAAGGGCATCTGGCTGGAAAGTGAGAGTGAGGGAGCAGGAGTGTCTCATTCTCCACTTTCATCCTTCATCCACTGGCTGTAAATCAGCCATCTCCTCTACTTGTCAGGGCCCAGCCGCTGGCTGGCCATTTAGCAAGTGCACACTGCCCTAGCATTGAGCAAACAAGGTTCCGGGGCACAGTGACTGCAAGTGGGCTCTGGTGTCAGACCCCTGGATGAGAATCTGCTCTCACACTCACTGGCCATGTGACCGTGAGCCCCCTGTGCTTACAGCCCCTGTCCTCTGTCCTGTGGAATACGCAAATTCCTGGGTCAGGGGAAGCAAGCACAGGTTTTTTTATCTCATTTTCCTTTAAAGAGTATTTGCATTTTGGACCTCCCTGGTGGCACAAGGGGTTAAGATGCAACCTATGAAGCTGTCCACAGCCACTGCAGCACGAGTTTGATCCCCGGCCAGGGAGCTGCCCACATGGTGCAGCAGACCTCTCCTGACTCGCCTGCTGCTCCCCTCAGCAGTGTATTTTGGTCAACCTGCCTATTCTGTTCCCTACTCTGTCTCTGGTGAATATCCCCCGCCTGTACCCCTGTTCTTGTATGCATAAATAAATCTTTTTTGAAAAAAAAAAGTGTATTTGTATTTAGCCCAAGTGGTATTCCTTCATTAGTACAACTCTTATATTTCAAGGTATAGCTAAATATGTTGGATTGTGATTTTTTTTCATTAAAACTGCAATGCTTGAGGAGTTTTGTAACAATAAATTAGTACTCCCATGTAAGTGGCAGGACCATTGGAAATGAGTCCAGTAGAAGCCTTAGGAACCTAGAGTCAAATCTAGCTGCATTTGCTAGATACCATTGTTCCTACCCATTCAGAGCTTAAGATCTGGTTGGAGAAATGAAATGAATACCTGCAAGGTCAAGGAAAAACCAACTGGCAACCAGTGAGTGTGGTGTCATTTCACACCAGTGCCCACACTGTGCTAAGCAAGAGATCCCCAGAGGACAAGACAAGACACACCCTAGCCAGGAGCACAGCTGAGCCAGCTAAGCACCCAAACTCAGGTTCAGAGAAGACCGTGCTCTTTCTACAAACAACTAGTGAGTACTTGTAATGTGCCAGAATACTCCATTAGAACACTTTCCCCCCTTGGAATTGCCTAGAAGGATGGCAGAGTTCAGGACCACCATTTCTAGCAGAGTGATTCCTTCTTGAGCCCCAATCAGTTAGAAGTAAGTAAAGTGCCACAAGAGGTTCACCTCTGACAAATGAAGAAACAGGCTTAGCACAAAATGTGGCTGGGATAACAAAAATGACTCACAGATATGGTGGCTTGTTTTACACAAGAAATTGTCACTTCTCATTTTGGGATCATGGATCCGAATAAACTTATTATCTGTCCCACTGTGTGCACATGTTTTGCAGGTCAAAACTTGCAAAATGATGTTGTCCGAACTTCAGAGGCCTTAGAAAGTGATGATTAGAAATAGGTGAATCATGATGTTCCACAGCACTGTCCTAAACTCCAAATCATGAAGATCGGTCATGGATAATTGTGGCAGACTTGAAAAGAGATGATGCTCTTACTATTCCAACTTTCATAGATTGAGCTGGGCTATAGAGTGTAAATAATGTAAACAAACAGAAATAGCTGCCCCTGCCTTATTGAGATATGTAGTTTCTCATTTTCATCATTTTTTTAATAGGGTTCAAGTGGCTAAAATCTAAGCATCCCTAAGGACGTCCCAGGGAAGTCCCTCTCAGTTGCATGTGGTTGTTAAGATGAGAGGTGGATTCCTTCAGTAGCACATTGATTTAGTGCTGAGAGGCGGCTGAGGGCATGCAGTTGGGTCTCAGACAGTGTAGAACCATCTCCCTGTGGGCACCCATGGGAATTCTGCAGGCCAATTTCATCCATGTGGCCTCATCAGTGCCTTTGGCCTTTTGCACTACAAAAGCCCAAGAGAAGGAATGTGTACCCTGCAAAACCAAGTTAAAATGTTTAATAAAAAACACATTATAACCATCATCATGTCCAATTTTATTCTATTCTTGTATTAGTCAGGATTCTCTAGAGAAACAGAACCCCCAGGATCTATATATAGGAAGAGACTTGATACAGGAAATTGACTCACGCCATTATGGAGGCTGAGAAATCCCACCATCTGCTGTATGCAAGATGGCATGCTAGGAAGGCTGCTGGCGTAATTCAGTTTGAATCTGAAAGCCTAAGAACCAGAGGTGCTGAGAGCAGGAGAAAACTGATGTTACAGTTGTTCAAGCCATCAGGCAGAAGGGCCCAGTTTTTCCTTCCTTTACCTTTTTGTTCTGTTGAGGACCTCAGTGGGTTGTCCATTCACAACAGGGGAGAGCAAACTGCTTTACAGAGTCCACCAATTCAAATACTAATATCATCTGTGCTAGACATACCCAGAAATAATATTTAGCCAATCAAGTTGACAAATAGAGTGAACCATCACAATTATAAATAATTTGATAAAAATACCCACAAGATCTGAATAGATGATATATGTATCATAAAACTATAAACATTCTTAGGAAATTTAAATAAAAATATTCAGTGGGAAGTATGGGTGCACTTTAATATATTTGAAATGATTTGGGGTCTTGAAAAGTAAAAGTGTCTGTGGTTAGAGAAAGATCTTACATATCCCCACACTTAGTATCTCTATGCCTACTGCAACTGTCAATTTTACAGGATTCTTACCAGGAATAAATGAGCTAGTATACATGAAATATATATATGATGGTATCTAGCATGTCACTCAAAATGTTAGCTTGGAATACCAGTAGTTATTCACCAGCGTATTATTTTAATGTCTATATATAATGTTAAATCAAGGCATTATTTCCCAATTTAACTTGCAATAGTTTTTTACTCATATCAAAAAGATTAAATGTTCCTATAGTTGCTCCAAAAAAAGAAACTAATTCATTTTCCAGTCTCATCAGTATGCCAGAATAAATCTGGATTTGGAATAACAGTGGTGAATGGAAGATTTCTAGACATTTTAATAATGTAATAGGATTCTAGAAATTCAAACATGAATGTGAGCTATCTCATGCCCCTTTCTACAGCATCACAGGACTACACCAAATATATAAAAATAAACACCTTTACTTCAAAGTACAGGATGTTGCCTGGCTAAGTTTAATTGAAAAGCTAATATCCAGTGCAATTGTCTGTGATAAACTGAGACTTAATTGATTTGAAAACACTTTAGGAGCAGACAAATCAGATTATCACAATCTTTATGGCTGGAAAGGTTCAGCTGGTGTTGACAAGTTGTAAAGATAAAAGCTTAGAGCAAAGTCAAGAGCTAAATGTCTAGAGTGGGCTGGGGATCAATGTTAATATTCAAAGTGTAAAAACACTGAACTTCAGATGATCTCTCATTGCCTTCTGTGGTGTCGAACTTTTCAAGATAATGGTGTGGAATTTGATTTGCTGAAAAACTCTTGCTTAAATGTCATGGGTGAATACCTTACATCTTCACAGGGTTCTTTACCATCAAAACTACTTCTTCAATAATGGTGGGTGGGTCGTGTGATGTGCACCCTGCCCTGTAATCAGAGGGTTCAGCTTCTTTTTTCAAAATATTTCTAGTTGGGTGACATCAACAGGGGATAAGAGACTAGAGTCACCTGATGCCATTTCTGGGCATCTTTATTTTTTGAATCTAACATTGAATCTGCCTCCTGGTCTCAGCAAGAACCCTTCCCAAATAAGTGCCTGTTCTTTCAAAGGCTGTTTGCAAGAGTTGATTCCATGCTATCCTCTCACTCAGTTAAAGCCAGTGGCAAAATGCATGCATATTGGGCTGTGTAAGAGATTCCCTGCATTCAGCTCCCTCACTGCTGCTTGTGCCCCCAGGTGACACGTCCAATGTCTCCAACCTCTGTTTGCTTTTGTCTTTTGTTTACAGGAGCAGAGGGCACAGTGTTCCCCAAATCTATAGAGACACCTAATATCAGGGCAGACCCCTTCAAGGAACTAAGGTAAATTTCTGACTGTGCTTGGGGTTGATTAGTGAGTGATGATTTCCTTTGTCTTTGTAACCAACTGATGATTCATTTTGAATATTTATGATAGCAGTATCATAACATGAATCCATAAACAGTGAGAGACTAGAAAGAATGTGGACATAAGCTGCCTCTGAGAGAGAACGTTGTCTGAGAATGTTGGAAGGTGGAGGGTTTGGAGGAGGAGGTTGTCAGCCTGGTGATTGTGAGGCTTGGGATTCATTCATTTGCATTGTTTGCTCACTGCTGTGCTTGATGGTACCAAAAACCTGTCCAGTTGCAGAACTAGTCAATTACTGGTCCTAATCAACCCCAAAGAATTGTGCTCTCTAAAAGAAACTGAATTTTATATACAATACAGATTTTTTTTTCTTAATGAGTTCTCCATTACTTGGAGTGATAGGGTGCAAGAACCAATTTTCTGTGGGTATTCCTTGTACTGGTGTTAATTTTCACACATGTGTGTGTGTGCTGCCTTTAGCACAAAAGGACTCTGAGAGAGTAGAGATGGCAACTATATAAACAGCTATAGAAAAGTTAAGAATAAGATATACACATAGACAGACAAATATATGACCTAAAATCCATTTCAGCCACAAAAGGACTATCCCCAGCCCTCAAAAAGAAACACATAAAGATGGTATGTTCAAACAAATATAACTGTAATTTTTACTGTATACTTACAGCTATGAAAAATTCAGTGAATGCTGGCTTCCTTTATTTATTGTAGTTCTTTTCACTACACCCAGCCATAAGTCATTATCAATAGTATTGAATAACTGTCTCATAGTAAACATCCCCCGAAAGCAAATGTATTTGTGTTACACAGTCATATCTGCTCTCTCACAATGCCATCCCAACATCCATGTTCTGCTAAAACAGCAACAGCTGTGTTGGGGTTTATATCTCCCCAAACAGCAACACATTCTCAGTAAGTGAAGAATATACCACCTCATTACCAAACCCACAGCTTTCTCGCAAAGCCTGTAAGTCCTGGTGAATATAGGAAAATAAATTGGGCCAAAGGAATAGAATGATTGATGGAGAATGAGAACTCCTCCTTAGCAGAGTCTCATAGACAGTGAGCTATAATTTTAAGATTATGCATCTCTCTGCAAGATTTTATATTTTACTAGATAACTGTTTTCAGCGAGGCTTCCTCATGGCAGGGACTACGTGATTGTGTCAACTCGATCCACTGTTTCATCTTAGATATGAAAGCTGGAATTTTGTAAGCACATTCTCCCTAGGAGTTCTGTATCTAGGACTCCCTGCGAGAGCTGATCCTCAGAGGGTGTGATGAATCCTTAGGTGTGTGATGTGAGGGCTCTTTTGAGACACAATCATGGGTGGCCTGGTTGGGAGACCTGGGCCTTTCTCTCTATAGTCTTCTTTAGGGGCAGGGTTTCTATTTTACAGAACTCAATAGTTATTAGCCCTGAAGAGTCCAAAGGTAAATGCTATCTCAAAGAAGCTGAGCTCTAAAAGCATTATGAGTTCTTTTTCCTGTGGAACTAGGTCTATATCACTTGGAAAACTGGGGGTATATTTGAGTAAAGGATTGAGAATAACTTAGGTTTAAGCAGAAAAATAACTTCTATAGTTATTTAAAAATAAAAAAAATACCAAACAACAAAATGACTACATAGTCAGCCCACTTTATAGACCCAGATCCTGGAGAACATTTGCTGAGATAATTGGCAACACACAGTCCTCTGTACAAAACCATGGGAAACCCCAAAACTTACAAATAGAACCTCTGATATTCAGATGTAAATCTCCTGAGTCTAGTGCAATGAAATAGACTCCAGGTAATAGCTGCATTTTCATCATTACTTATTCTAAGAAATAAAATGTTCTCATAGGAACTATACAGAGATCTTAGTATGTGATTCTAAAACTAGTCTTTTGTTTACATATGTTGAAAATGTGTAGATGGTTGGTGACCTCAGCTGAGTAAGGGATCTAGAATGTGATCATTTTGTCCCTCTGTACTAGATTTTGCTGTCCTCACAGCATTCATTTTCTGCTTAAAAAAATTGAATCAAGGTAACACTGGTTTTCAATATTGTATAAGTCTTCAAGTATACATCACTATACATGATGCCCCCCCCACAGTCTAGTCCCCATCCACCCAGTATCAGTGACCTTCATTTCCCATTTCACTGTTTTGTTTTGCTTGTGCATTGGTTTTATTTTAGCTTCCACATGAGTAAAATCATACATTGTCTTTCTCCATCTTAGAATTTTCATTTATCATTTTCCCCTCTAGTTCCGTCCATGTTGTTGCAAATGGAAAGAGTTCATTCTTTTTTATGGCTAAGTAGGTTTCCATGATGTACATAGACCACATCTTCTTAATCTACCCACCTGCCAGTGGGCACCCAGATTGTTGCCAGTTCTTGGCTATTGTGAATAATGCTGCAGTAAATATAGGGGTGCCAATATCTTTACAAATTAGTGTTTTCATATTCTTCAGATATTCAGGATTGGGATAGCTGGTTCATATGGCATTTCTATTCATAATTTTTGAGGAATCTTCATGCTGTTTGGAGTATTTTTTATTGGTTCTTCTGCAACTCTCTAACCAGTTGGAGAATTTCAAATGTGATTGATAGTGCTGACACACACATACACACACACATACATTTTATAAAGGAATTTCACAGAAAAGTTATTTGTTGAAACATGAGATAATGGATCTGTGAAAGTTCCACTGCAGTTAAGTCAAAGTATTTTTAATGATGATTTGTCTTTTTTTAATAATTTTCTGTACCCAGGTTTCGGGGATCTTGTTAAGGGGAAACAAACTGAGTTCAAAAACCACAGTTTATTTATACAGAGACTGTCTCCCAAAATAAACAAGCAAAGCTTAAATATGCATTGAATCCCTCACTTACCCAAACAAACTGGGAAAAAAGCATCAGTTGCTGAGAGCCTCTGAGGCTCTGCCTTGACTGCTGGTGATTTGTGTTTGTTCTAATGTGTTCTGGTTGTTGACGTGTTGCTGAGAAGCAGATTTTAGGCTCTGCCACTTCTTCCTAGATCTTGGGTCTCAGTTAGGGCAGCTTCCTCTCTGTTCCAGTTTTGCTTCACTGCTATTTTCACAGTAACTATAGATACTGTATTTGTGGAGTTGGTCTTAAATGTTGGCAAATAAGCCAAAGTTAAGCTCAGAATCACAAAAGAGAGTTGCTTCTGGAGACAAATCATGAGTGTTAGCAAGGTTTGCACCCAACTCTCAGCTCAGGGTGATTGTTGAATTTGCCCCTGAAGACATTTCTGAAATGACCTGTTGCTCTAGATCCAAGATTATACTTTAACATATGCCAGACACTATTCCCAGCCCTTGAAATAAGAAAAAGTAACTTTGACTAGAAACTGGATTTTTGTAAATTCACAATCTAAAATTGGGAATATAATAGATATTCACTTGTTGACTTTTTTTTTCTTAGAGTCTATATAAAGACAAATGAAAAAAAGCCTGATCTCAGGCTGTGCATGATCTGAGACAGGAAATAGGCTATCCCTTTTTCATACCTTTGAATGCCTTCCTTGCTCTCAAGATTCTTTCCAACTGTGATGTTTCCTTGTAGAATTCTGATTCCAAGAACAGGTAATAGGCTGTGAAATTTTATTTCTTAGACATTTGCCATGACCAATGAAAAAAATGGCAAAAGGTTATATAGACCATTTATATATAGAGCCAACTTTGTTTCCCTAAATATCACCAAAAGCTTGCAAGAAGGCAAAGGTCTCCATAAAAGAATCCTTTATCAGCCAATGTGCTAATGTGCTCCCTTCTCCATATAACCCTGGCGAGGCTGGAGAACTGATTTCCCATATCCTTGCTGTACACCAGGAACTATTGTACCAACTTATTGTTTTTTTTTTTTTTTTGCACACATGTTAGGAGTCAAATCATGTGCTAAATATTTGGAATTGAGAGATATATGAGTATTCAAATAATGTATAGTAAAAAAGCATGAGACATAAATGTAACTCTGAATTACAAGATAGTATGATCAAAGCTTAGAAGGTGTGTAAACTATGTCAGAGGAAACAGAATGTCAGAGTCCACCTGACAGACTTAGCTAAGATTGCCTGAAGAAGGGACGTCATAGCTGCAAGAAGAAAGAGAAAGTCTAATACATAGGCCTCAGAATTCAAAAGTGCAGTTGTCTGGGCCACTGAACGTAGGGGCAGATGGTACAACACATTTCTGCGGCTGCTAAGAATGTCACTCTGTCATCTAAAACCATGAGTGGGGGCCTCCTTAGTGGCATAGGGGTTAAGTCTCAGCACTATCACTCCTACAGCCTGAGTTCAATCCCTGGCCAGGGAGTTGACCCACATGCACAGCAGACCTCTCTTGTCTCTCTTGCGTGCTGCTCCCCTCAGCAGAGTATTTCAGTTGATCGTCCTGTTCTGTTCCCCACTCTGTCTGGTGAATCCTCTCACCCTAGCACCTCTGGCCTATACCCTAGTTCTTCTTTGCATAAATAAATAATTTTTTTAAAAAATTAATTGTGTGAAGGCAACTTCAAACATGATCATGAGACTTTAAAGATTGTTAGAAGTTTCAAACATTAGCCCGTAACATAATTCAGGACTGGAAAATTCACTGATATCAAATCTATTCTATATTCCTAAATAAATAGAGAATGTCTCTGTGGCTGTTCATTTCTCTGCATGGTGGGACCAAAGTTTTAATGATAAAGCAGAAAATTTCAAAGCTGTATCCACTGCTCCCCACATGCACTTAAACATTCTCTAGGTTTTTGGTTTTTGGCTTTTTTAATGAGTAAGTATGGAATCTGAACTCCATTGGGAATGGGTGAGATTTACAGTCTGTATATCTCATAGGGACATAAAGATCAGACAAGGCTCCCTTAAGTTGCCAGAAATGAAGCAATTTCTTTCTTTAACTTTATTTTCAAATGTCTATAGTCAACTGAGTATTTATTGGCTTTCCA